GACTACTCTGTTCCCACCTGCTCCCAATCTGCTCGTTAGTCCTCTCTTTGTTTCAGTCTCCCATAAATACACTCCTTATGCAGTTCCTCAGTGCTGGTTCCTCGTCAATCTTCCTCAAACACTGTCTCACTGAGTCTTCCTTCTCATGATTGTTTCCCCCAGATGTCTCCATGGTTTCTGGTTTGTTTGACTTTTTTTCATGTTTGATTTTTGGATATTTGGATTCCTGCCTAAACGTTCTGTTTACCTTTCATTATATCCACAAGAAACGCACCTCTGCCTCCCTGCCTCTGCATTTGGGTCCTCAAACCACAACCCAATCCTGACAGCATCCTCTTCTTCTTGTATCTGATTAACTAGGAAGTACATTACTGTCTTGCCTAAGTAGCAGGTCGGTATAATCTTTGGGTCCAACATGTTTCTCTTCTCTACCACAAAAGAAGCACAATGCACTGGTCACTTCACTTCCACTTCACAAGTGGAAGTGATCATCTTTACCAGACCCCTCGAAGGCAGCATAATTCCAATTGATCTCTTTTTACATCTAGAGATATTATGTAACTACTTTGGATCAGTGTGTAGACTGTGTTTACTTCCTGGTTTCTGAGCCAATGATATGAAAGTTCCAAGGATTGCCAAAACAAAGAGCATCATTTGGTATTTTATGTTGGCCAAATGTGCTGTAATGATTTAGAACAGAGGACCCAGAATTCAGGCAAGACAGACAGTGGAATAACTTAAATGTTTATTTAAACAAGTGGGCTCTGGATGCATGGTATCAGTGACTAGGGCATCTATAACAGGAAAATCTGCAGGAGTGAAACAAAGGTTAGTGACCACGATAATCTGGCGGACGATGATTATGAATTTGTGGTTTGTCAGTTCAGTCCGTGCCCAGAGAACGAGGATGATTTCAGTCAGTCAGCTGACAAGACGCAGCGGACAATGCCTGAGAGTTCCAGACGCAGAAATCCAGGAGGCTGAAGATCTGACAGGAGATCAGATTCAAACTGACGAAGGAAGGCAGGATAATCCACAGGGTGTGGTCAAGAGGCAGGCCGAGGTTCAGTCCACAAAATAATCCAACAGGAGTCTGAAGAGAGGCCAGGCAAAAAGAACAGACATGGGCAGGCAAGCTCAAAGGTCCAAATACAGAAACATATCAGGATCAGACAATCAGAACAATATAGAAACGCTAGAGAACTCTCAACACCAAAGGCTGATGCCTGGGAACACAGACTTTAAATAGAAGCAGGTGGATCAGATGAGCAGTGAAAGAAAACTTGGTGGAGCTAGACAGGTGAATGAAATGAGCAATCAAGCCAGCCATCAGTCTGCCAGTCTGCAACCGTGGGCACTAGAGAGAGAAGATAAATAATTTTAACAAAACCTAAACAGTCTCTGCATTCTTCAAAATTTGAAAAATAACCTAAGGCAAGAAAATCAAAGATTATTAGTGGCTACTCTAGCAAGATAGGAAATTCTGAGGGACATAAACTTTAAAACTAGTGCAGATTTGGCATATTTTCTCTTAATCATGTAAGCACCAGGTGTTTGCTTTTATCTAAACTAAGTTTTGACTAATTTAGAAAGTTATATTGTGTAACTCCTAGCTAAGCTCCATGATTGAGTTGATTTAATACACAGCAAGCCTTTATTATTAAAACAAAAATACCTGTTTAGTCTTCTGAGCTAAAGAAAGTTCTATCAAATGAATTCAATCAGCTAGACTGGAAGCAGAAAACAACTGTGTGTTGTTATTTTATAGATATTGTTTGTCGTGATCTCAATGCTGATGCTGTTCGTATCCCTCATTGTACACACCTGTCAAGCTCCACGCTGTTTTTCATTTAACTCTCGCCAGATGCACCTCCACTAGCCGCTATATAACCTTTCCTTAGATCAGACTTCAGTGCTAGATTATACGAGCCAGTTTGTCTGTCTGCCTGTTTATGACCTGTTCCTCCTCCTGATTCTCTGACCTTCCTAACCCCTTTCGAACCTGATTGTTCGTATTACCTGGATCTCTGTTCAGTTTCTGTGTCCTGACCCTGCTTCTGGATTTTGCCTTGGATTTTCTTGGATACTCTGCTAACCCAACTCTCAACCTCTACATGTCCCTTGACCGCTGCTTATCTGCCTGTCCTATGAGCTCGATCCCTGATTGTACCCTGATTGGATGTCGAATCAAGGAGACTATCACTGGAGACATAACCCATCAACAGGAGCTCTCTACCTCACAACTTGATTACCAGATTGTGAGAAGGTTCAGAGGTTCATGCCTCTGATGCTGGCCGCCTCAAATAAACTGTTTATGCTAACTGTTGTCTGGCTGTCTTTAGGTCCTCTGGTTCATTCTCCAACATTGTTAGGTTGTAGAAGCGTGATATGATGACGACTCTATCTTACAATGACATATTGAGTAGCGAACACTTAGCTTAGTTCTGTGGTGCTTCCCCTCTGACCAGAATGAATCACTCTCATTTAAATTCTCGTGACTTTAAACAACACAGAGTAAATCAATGTTATTGGATGCAATCCATGTAAAGCCCCTCCAAAGTTTTTTCAACACCTTTCAATCTGTCCTCATTCACCAGAGAAAGTCTGAAAGCTTATTGACTCGAAAATAAGACATATTCATATGTGACGAGAACTGTTTAACACTGTTTTGTTTTATTATGCATGGATTTCTTTTTTATTTACAGAAGAAACAATTTTTTTTGTCAAAATGTTTTCTATTAAAGTTTGGCCACATATATAAGAAATTAATATAGGAGTATATATATATTAATATTTATATCATCTAGAATCTGTAGAAAGTGGAATCGGGATGTAAGAAGATCCACACAAGACAGCAGACAACTTTAAACTTGTGATCTCTTCATTTGCCGGGGCATACATTTATTGCATATTTTAAACACTTTTAACATAAAAAAATGAGAAATTTGGGTTGGAAAATCATTCAGCTCCATTGAGTTGATACCCACCTTTTGCTGTGATTACAGCGACAAGTCGCTTGGGTTATGTCTTTAAATGTTTTGCGCATTGAGAGACTAAAATTTTTGCCCATCCTTCCTTGCAAAACAGCTCAAGCTCAGTAAGGTTGAATGGAGAGCATTTGTGAACATCAGTTTTCATTTCTTTACAGAGATTCTCCATTGGATTCAGGTCTGGACTTTAAATTGGCCATTCTAACACCTGGATATGTTTATTTGTGAACCATTCCATTGTAGATTCTGCTTTATGATTTGGAGCGTTGTCTTGTTGGCAGACTAATCTTCTTCCCAGTCTCAGGTTTATGGCAGACTTTATTTGGGTCCTTACATCTTCTCATTAATTTCAACCATCTTTGCTGTCCCTGCTGAAAAAAACAGACCCAAACCATGATGCTACCACCACCATTTATAACTGTGGGGATTGTGAGTTCAGGATGATGAGCTGTGTTGCTTTTAAACGAATACATAATGTTTTGCAATTTTGCCAAAACAGTTTGATTTTGCTTTCATCTGACCTGTGTCTCCCAGCTGGATTGTGACAAACTTATTAATTTTTATGGATATCTTTAAGAAATGGCTTTCTTCCATAAAGGCCAGATTTGTGCAATATGACTGATTGTTGTCCTATGGATGTGAGTCTCTCACCTCAGCTGTAGATCTCGGCAGTTCATCCAGAGTGATCATTGGCCTTTTGGTGCATCTCTGATCAGTTTTCTCCCCTCTGATCAGTTTAGAGGGACAGTTGAGTCTTTGTAGATTTTCAATGGTCTTATACTCCTTCCATTACAATATTATCTCTAGCACAGTGCTCCTTGGGATGTTTAAAGCTTGGGAAATCTTTCTATATCCATATCCGGCTTTAAACTTCTTGCCTTGTGTGTTCCTCGGTCTTCATGATGCTCTCCGTGACCTCTTTAGACGATCACAGAGCAGGCGTATTTATACATAGAACTGATTCCACACAGGTGGATTCTGTTTATCATCATCAGTCATTTAGGTCAACATTCGATCATTCAGAGATCCTCACAGAACTTCAGGAGAGTTTGCTGCAGTGAAAGTAAAGGCGCTGATTTATTTTGCACGTTGCGCTCTTCAGTTTTTATTTGTTAAAAAAGTTTCAAATATCCAATAAATTTTGTTCCAATTCATTATTGTGTCTCACTTGTTGTGGATTCTTCACAAAAAAAATAAAATTTTATATCTTTATGTTTGAAGCCGAAAATGTGGCAAAAGGTTAAGAAGATCAAGGGGAACAAATACTTTGCAAGGCCCTGTATACATGTAAATGGGTTACCCTCCACTTAATTTTGTTACATGAAAAGTCAGTCTTGGGAGGTTGTATATATTTGTACAAGGAAAAGTGAAAATGTTTTTCTTTAAAGTTTTGTATAACCATCTACAACCTGCAATGAGCTGCTAAAACATATGTGATTTAAACTCCAAATCAGTTAAAAAACAAAAAAGAAAAGAATGCTGCTGCAAAAAAAAGGGAAACATGCTGCGAACAGGTGACTTGTCCTTCATTCAACTCCTTCTAGTGGTCTGGAGCATTTTTGTTTTATGAATAGAGTTTGCTATTATTTTTACTATTTGCATAATTTTCTCTCTGTGAATTCAGCGTCTTGTTTGTTGTTGCAGCAGTTTGTTTTTGCATTCATGTTTTGTTGATTGTAGGGTTTTGCTTCTTTTCAAGTGATTGCAGCATTTTCTGTTTGCAGTGTTTTTCTCTTGCCTTTGTTTATTGTGTTAGGGTGTTTAGGAGTTAGCATCACACACATTTTTGCAGCTTGTCTTTTTTGTTTCACTGCGCGTTTGCTGCTGCCAACTTCCCTATTCTATCAGTAGCTTCTTTGGAACTATTAAAAATGCCTAAATCAAACAAGCAATAAATGTTTGGCAGCAAAGAGGAAAAAACTATTAAACAAAATAATATATGTATTTATTTTTAATGGATCGATGGATCTGAATGTACAAGTGCTAATGATAATCCTTTTCCAGGTTCCAACACCGTGAGCTTTGATGGTGACAGCAGCCTTTTTCTCAAGTCCATTCGGAAACCAAGACAGACATCTTCAGACAACATGTATCTAAAATTTAAAACCCTGAAAAACTCTGGGATTCTGTTTCATGCTGAAGGACAAAATGAGCTCAGCTTTACGGTGGAGCTACAAAAAGGGCAACTTCTTCTGCTTCTCAGAAAAGGTAAAACTCTTAATAGTTATGCAGCCTTCAGATCCTCTTACTAGTTCATTCTCTGTTTGCTTGAATCTGTCCAAAGCTGGTGAAATAAGTACACAGACTTATTAAAATGCTGCTCTGCTCTCCAGTGGATGCTGATTTTATCACTCTTTTGCATTGATCCAAATGTTACAGTACAGATTAGAGGCTCACATAAAAATATTTGTTTTCTGACTCTATGATTGATAAGATTGAATTGAAAATGTTTGAGCTTATGTTTTGTGTTGAGGTTCTGTTGCACAATAAATAGAGCAGAAAACTAAAACACCAAAAGTGTGTATTTTGTGATTCCTAATCTTATTTGTTCAAACCAGTCTAAATGCTAAATTACACTGCTTAGCACAATTCAATGTGAGGGTAAATATATATAAAAAATGCAAGATATTGAAGATATCTGTTCTCTTAAAAGCAAACATCCATCTTAAAGGTTGTGACTCATTCTAGCTGCTGATTGTTGGGCTCATCAGGATTTTAAGGTAGCCCACAGCTGAGCAACTTGACAACAGAGAAAATCTTTTTCTGAGTTCAAAAGTTTTTTTTGCAATGACAGCTGGGTAAAAAATGCAGAGAGCAAAAGTCACCTTAACAACATAAAAAAAGCCTCAATTTGAGCAGACAAGTGATAAAACAAGTAGAGAAAACATACTTTTTGAAATACGTGTAGACAACTTCAAAATTTAAAGATGTAAATGTGTATATTTATGTATAAAATTAAGATAAATCATAAGGTGAGCAAAATCTTAATGTACACAAAGTAACACAAGGATAAAATAATACAAAAAGCATGTAGTATATTGCTACTGTGTAGCAATATAAAAGCATTCAAAACAGATAAGGACTGTACATAAGGCTGGTTGATATTTGGAAACGTATATTTATGCATTATGAACAATATATACTATAGGAATGAAGAAACAGCAAAAATAACAGAGAAATATATATAAACAATATTGTGTGTAATATAAAACTTGTCTCCCTCTCTATAAAAAAAAAATATATATACATATATATATATATATATATATATATATATATATATATATATATATATATATATATATATATATATATATATATATATATATGTATATATATATATATACATATATGTATATATATATATATATATGTATATATATATATATATACATATATACATATATATATATATATATGTATATATATATATATGTATATATATATATATATATATATATGTATATATATATATATATATGTATATACACTATATTGCCAAAAGTATTTGCTCACCTGCCTTGACTCACATATGAGCTTAAGTGACATCCCGTTCCTAATCCATAGGGTTCAATATGACGTCGGTCCACCCTTTGCAGCTAGAACAGCTTCAACTCTTCTGGGAAGGCTGTCCACAAGGTTTAGGAGTGTGTTTATGGGAATTTTTGACCATTCTTCCAGAAGCGCATTTGTGAGGTCGCACACTGATGTTGGACGAGAAGGCCTGGCTCTCAGTCTCCGCTCTAATTCATCCCAAAGGTGTTCTATCGGGTTGAGGTCAGGACTCTGTGCAGGCCAGTCAAGTTCATCCACACCAGACTCTGTCATCCATGTCTTTATGGACCTTGCTTTGTGCACTGGTGCACAGTCATGTTGGAAGAGGAAGGGGCCAGCTCCAAACTGTTCCCACAAAGTTGGGAGCATGGAATTGTCCAAAATGTCTTGGTATGCTGAAGCATTCAGAGTTCCTTTCACTGGAACTAAGGGGCCAAGCCCAGCTCCTGAAAAACAACCTCACACCATAATCCCCCCTCCACCAAACTTTACACTTGGCACAATGCAGTCAGACAAGTACCGTTCTCCTGGCAACCGCCAAACCCAGACCCGTCCATCAGATTGCCAGATGGAGAAGCGCGATTCGTCACTCCAGAGAACGCGTCTCCACTGCTCTAGAGTCCAGTGGCGGCGTGCTTTACACCACCGCATCCGACGCTTTGCATTGCACTTGGTGATGTATGGCTTGGATGCAGCTGCTCGACCATGGAAACCCATTCCATGAAGCTCTCTGCGCACTGTTCTTGAGCTAATCTGAAGGCCACATGAAGTTTGGAGGTCTGTAGTGATTGACTCTGCAGAAAGTTGGCGACCTCTTCGCACTATGCGCGTCAGCATCCGCTGACCCCGCTCCGTCAGTTTACGTGGCCTACCTCTTCGTGGCTGAGTTGCTGTCGTTCCCAAACACTTCCATTTTCTTATAATACAGCTGACAGTTGACTGTGGAATATTTAGGAGCGAGGAAATTTCACGACTGGATTTGTTGCACAGGTGGCATCCTATCACAGTTCCACGCTGGAATTCACTGAGCTCCTGAGAGCGACCCATTCTTTCACAAATGTTTGTAAAAACAGTCTGCATGCCTAGGTGCTTGAATTTATACACCTGTGGCCATGGAAGTGATTGGAACACCTGATTCCAATAATTTGGATGGGTGAGCAAATACTTTTGGCAATATAGTGTATATATATATATATATATATATAGTTGTGTCCAAGTGAAGTCACGCGTCACGCATACAATTAGGCAAGGCAAGGCAAATTTATTTGTATAGCACAATTCAGTACAAACACAATGCAAAGTGCTTTACATGATTAAAATACAGGAAGATAAAACAGAATCAAAGCAAGTAGAAAAAAATAATAAATAAATAAATAAAATAATATAAAAAATGCAGAAACAAAAAAGAATATTAAAAACAGTTGGACTAAAGAATATATGTTTTAGTTGAACTGTTTAACTAGAACAGTCGAAGGCAATCCTAAACAAATGTGTTTATAGTTTTGATTTAAAGGAACTCAGGCTTTCCGCACTTTTACAGTTTTCTGGAAGTTTGTTCCAGATAAGTGGAGCATAGGAACTAAATGCTGCTTCTCCATGTTGAGTTCTGGTTCTAGGTATGCAGAGCAGGCTGGAGCCAGAAGACCTGAGTGGTCTGGAGGGTTAATCAGATAGAGGCGGAGATGAAGCTACTGAATATTCCACTTGGTTTTATTAAACTACTGCATACAAAGTAGGCTGTCTGCGTTGTTGTGGTACAGCCTCATTGAATGGGGGAGCTCACGTAATATAGCCCCCGCCTAAACGCACAGCATTATAGGAAGTGAAGTCCGTATACACTGTACAACCATACGCAACATTCCTCCCCTCAACCTTGAACCTCATCCATTTCTTTTAAATCTAAACAACATTGTTTGCTTACACTTACAAATCATTGACCATCCATTTTCAACCATTACAAAAATAAAATCATCTGTATCTGTGCTCGCCTGATCCTCTGTGGTGGCGTGATCACAGGTTCATTCACAATTTAACTTAATTCATCTCCTTCCAGTTCAAGACAGGTACAAACTCTCTTTCGTGAGGATCATCCAGTTGTTCTGCCATTACCTCATCATTCTCAGTATTTGAGCATTCACCAGAAACCTTAGTTGCTATTAGTTTGAAGGAGGATGATAATTAAGTGCTTCATGTAAACATACTAATGGAAAGTTATGTGAGAAAAATGGAGGCCAGATAACAGTGAACAACTCCTTAATTTCAGGTTGCTTGGAGGTTTGAAGGTCCTAAATTCAATAAAAATGCAAAACATAACAAAATACAGAAATACCAAAATCCAGGAGACGTCAGGGAAAACACTTGTGCAGAGTTTCTCTGCTTATGGAGCAGAGAAACAACAAGGAACCAGCCAAAAGTGACTGAAGAGAAGAAGTATATATGGGAGAAAAAAACAATAGGAGGAATAATTGGCAGAGGAGTTACAGGAGGGGACTAAAGAAGAGACTGACACAAGAGGGCAGCAGAGGGTAAACAAGAAATACCTTAGAACTCAAAGACATTTAAAAATAACTAGAAAAACACAAAATGGAAAAAAAAAAAACGCATGGAGCAACAAAGATAAATATTTCAATGTATTATCCATACTCTTCTTTATGGGCTTTTTCAGAAAACTAATTTTCTTTCTGCAATAATTACTGAGTCCTGTTCTGTGCCCTCACAGTCTATCTCACTGAAATGTGACAGTTATAATGACATAATAAAAAAAAAAGGAGCCTTTCATTAAATAAAATAGCTTTGAATACATACAATTTTAAACTTGTAGGCTTATTTAATTTTCATCCTAATTATAGTTATGTTTGTTGTCAGTCACTTCATTTTGTTTTTAACAAAGAAACCAAAACTCCTTTACTGTTTAAGAGAAATATGTTTAAAATCAAATTATCTAGGAAAAAAAACAGCAAATGTTTCTCAAAAATCACAATTCCCCTATTAATTTGCAGGACTAAAAAACTCGTTATTGAGAAGAAGCATCAGATTACATTTTCTTTGACCTTATCTGACATCTCCAAACCTCAGTCTCTTGATCCATAATTAAAAATATGTCAGTTTTCTTCCTTTTCAGTCTCCCAACATGTCTTTATGATCATGATCTGTTGTGACAGATCACTGCAGATTAGTGATTGAAGACCTGTAACTTAATTGATCTCTATCATCAATTTTTCTTATCCCACGCAGACAGTGACCTCATTTCTAACAATGTCGGATTCATATTTTATGAGTCAATGCATTCAACAAGGTCTTCACCTCAGTTTCTCAGCACAAATATCTTTGCGCTGGCCCCTTGGGGGGACCTCTTGATCCCTCTTCATTTATTCATGCTTGTCTGTCTCTTTTCTCACCTCTCAGAGTATGAATTATATCGTTTCTCCAACTCTCTCATAGCTGAACATAAAAGTGTTGTTTCTGAGATACAATCCCTTTTTTATACCTCAACTTTTAGCCCAAAATATATTTAAACTGTTGAGGAACTTTCAACATAATAATTGTAACTGTTAGTTGCATAAAACCTTTTGACTTTTTTCTATGCAATGAAATTTTTCTTTTATCCGCATTGATGGTTTCTTTCCTTTTGCCCCTTAATTCCAGGCGGGAGTTTGGTTCCAGACAGACATCATCTTGTGTCCCTGGGTAGCCTCTTGGATGACCAACACTGGCACCATGTTGCAGTGGAGCATCACAGCAGCCACCTCAATTTCACTGTTGACAAAAACACGAAGTGGTTAGAGAGGCCCCCATGGTTCACACACTGGAAGTTTGACCAGGTGAACTTTTGAAATGTTGGTTTAGGAGGTATGCATCCATTATTGAAAAACAATATCCCTCCAATGCAGCTCATAATTTTATGCTCTCTTGTTTTTCTTTTATAGATAAGTGTTGGGTCAAACCACAATCTTGACTTTCAAAATTCGGGCAGTAATTTCCAGGGCTGTCTTGAAAATCTTTTTTACGACGGCCTTAATGTGATTGACCTGGCAAAGCAGAGGGACCAAAGGGGTTACTTTGATGGTAAATAGACTTCCAGAGTGCTTGTGTCATGGTTTGAGCTATTTTTAAGTCTACTAATTTTTTTTCTTGTTTTATGTAAACTTTATTCATTCTGTTTTTTTTTTTCACTTTTGAAATTTATAATTTTTGGTTTTTACTATGTCTTATTTGTTAGTTTTTTTTATGCTCCTGTTTTAAGTTTTTTTTAAATGTGTTCTAGGTTCTTTTTTTTGGCATTTTCCTCAAATGTGTCTTAATTCTTTCCTGCCAAGTTTCATTTTTTAGGTCTTTCTCATATTTCTGATGTAGTTGTTATCAGAGGTGGGTGGTAACTATAGTTACATTTACTTTAATAACATTAAAAAAAATTACTTTTAGCAGACGTGTGATATTCTTCATAATTATCACCCCTTCTGCTGTGATAAAAGCCGTTTGGAATCAGACGCGTCTGCAGACGCGCCTCAACCAGTTTGTACCATTAAGCCGGGCATACACTGTACGATTTTTTGCCGTTTTGGGGCCAATTCTCCTGTCGTGCGAGAATTTTTGGATCTGGCTGACTTTCAGCTTGATCAGCAATCGTAAGGACGGCAGAAAATTAAACATGTTTGATTCTGTTCATGTGCAAACAAGGACTCTTCTTCCTCTTAGACAGAACAAAGAAGCGTAGCAGGGGTGCGAGTGAAATTGAGTTTTCCCTGTAAAATTCACAGACTGTAGTAGCCACATTTGCTCAGCCATGTCTTTGTCCAAATACGTAGCTTTTTCTTTTTAGGGCTTTCAGCATACAAAATCGAGAGTAGCGCCATCTCACTGCGGAGCTGAGTCCGGTGTGGTTTTTATAGGTACAGTGTGAGCAGATAGATCGCATCAGAGCGTCGGGCCGCACAGTGTGAGAACATGCATCTTGAGCTGTGAAACCGCAGGGTTTTGTCGCACAGTGTGAGCTGTAGCTGTGCGCAACGATTGAAAAAAAATCATACAGTGTATGCTCAGCTTTACTCCCACAGCCACAAGAATTCCTGTCCATTTATTTGTAATTTAATATAACTACATGCATATATTGACGCACAACATATATTGTTCATTCTTCTTTTTTTATCTCTTTCTCTTTGGAGAACTGTGTTTATTCCCCTCATTTAGCTGTGTTTGCTGAAAATAGCAGCAGTACGTTTGTTTATGCTTCTGATTTTCAAGATTCCAAATGTTGAGCTTAGCTAATGTCTAAAATAAGAACAAAAGTATATATGCAGCTACGGACCATCTCCTCAAAGCCGAAACTTTCCTTATGTTTTTATATTATATCTGTCAGACAGCAGCAACGCATTCTCACCGCAGTGAAATGCAAGCTCCTCTGAATTAGCAGGGCTTGAATATCTAATATTCAGAAGATTCAGAAATTAAAATCCCCCAAAAAAAATTTTAAAGTAACTGAAATGAAATTAATCTATCTTCATAAACTGTCTGTATGTTTCTGACTGTTTTTTTTCCACTTCCAACTCAGGGAAACGTGACGTTTTCTTGTTCTGAGCCCGTTTTGGTTGCTGTGACCTTCACTAGCCCCCAGAGTTTCCTTTGGTTACCTGGGGCCACAGAGCAGCATTCAAAAGGGACCTTGGTGAGCTTTCAGTTTCGGACGTGGAGCCATGAGGGGCTTCTGTTGACTTTTGATTTGCCAAAGCGAGAAGGGACCGTATGGCTGCACCTAAGGGAAGCCAAGGTGTATCTTCAGATCAACAAGGGTGGCAGGGCACCTTTAGAACTTAAAGCAGGTTAGTTTCATCCCCTTGAGATCACTCTCATCCCAATGTTTACAGTTTACAAAACCCATAACATCTGCTTTCTTTGCGTCATTGGCCAAATGGTGCAAATGCTGTGTGAAAGCATCAATTCACAGCAAATTCAAGAAATCCTGCAAACACAAATATGAAACTAGCAAACTCACAAAACAAGTGCGAAGGGCAAACGCTGCAAAGGAGACATACTGTTATCAGAAACATTGTAGCAAAGTCAAAACATGCTACAAGCACAAAATATACTGCAAGCACTTAAACAATGCAACAAAGCCACTAAAAAAGACATGCATAGTAAAAATGCATGGAAAATAAAAAAAACCATTGCAAGTTGAGATAAGCTAAAACTAGTTTTGCATTAAGGAAGTACACCAGACCACTAGGGGGAGAGGAACATCAACTCAAAATGGACATGAGCCTTAGGAAATGCACAAACATATGATGCTCAGAGAGAATTTGAGCCTGATCTTAACAGATTCCAAATAAGTTGTGCTAAATTGCAGCTGAAAATGTTTTTGTACATGCATTTAGAGGATATGTGGCAGATGATCTTCATAGATTGGCGGCACAAATAATAAGACTCATAAAACTGTTTAGTCCCATCCATATTAAGAGTCCAGGAAAAAAAGAAGGTTTTAAGGCATGAAGGTGGAGGTAGTAATGAGAATAATCATTTGAATAATAATATTGAAAAAACTAAACTTTTTCTCCAAGAGCTGCAAAAAAGTATTAAAATATAATTATGAAAATAACAAGTAGATGATTCAGGAGGTTGATGCATAAAATGCTGCATCATCCAGCCAAATTTAGTTTTTGCAGAATCATTCCATTGATCCGCAAGGCCTGGGTAACTGTACTGTGGCTGAAGTGAGTGTACACATTGATTTTCATGTAGCTATGGGGTGCTCAGTGTGAGAAAGGCCTTACTTTGTTCAGCTTGGTCATTAGTATATGATTTGCATGCAGACGTAAGCACACATTCAGAACCGGTTTGCGTGAGCTGCTTGCTTGTAAAGATTGATCCCTAAGAGTCTATTAAAAAAGTGCCTTTTCCATTTTCCTTCCTATAGACGGTAACCCATTTATGAATTTGCATCAGTTTTGATCCTTAGACAATAATTTGCAGTAATTTTTGTTTTCTGGTACCACAAGCAGTTGATAGTGATCAAGTGCACTTCCATTATGTAGAGCTCCTTTCCAGCTTTTATTAAGCTGCAGTTCTTATAGCTACTTGCAGCATTTTTCCCTTGCATGCGTTTTTTTGTGTTTGTAACCTTGCAGTATTATGGTTCAAAGCTGGACGCATAGCTGTGATGAAGGCAAAAGCTGACGAGCACAAATCTGAACCAAAATACTTATGGTAGCACAGTACTGCTTCAACATCTGTTTTTTTAGAATGCACAACTTTGTCCTTTAAAGAACAACAACAAGAGCATTTTGGTTTGCTAGAATTTCATTTGTTACCATTTTTGGCTAAAACCCAATTTTGGGAGACTAGCACTTGATGAGGCTACAACCCATGAGCACGAAAGGTTCTGCTGAATCTTCCCGCTTTCCCTGAACAGATTTGTTCGGAGGAGTCCAAGATTAATATTGAGTAGAACTAAAGCTGCTCACTCCACTTTATCAATCCGGCCTGTCAGGTTTTTGTCTTAGCATCATTTATGTTTTTGCAGCAGGTTTTTTACATGCTATGTATCTTCACTTTCCTGCTCTCTACTTTCTTTGACTGCAGCATTAATGTTTTTCCTTGCATGTGTCTGGTGTGTTAGTACTGGTAGACCAGGTTCTTTATTTAGTGAGTGTTCAAATAATACGAAAAAGGGGAAACAAATCTTTTAGTTAGGACAGAATTTATTGCAATTAAGTGTTAAAGAACATTGAAAATAAGAATACAATAAAGAGTTTTTACCCAGTGCTGGACTACTACGAGATCTGATGAAGTAGTAGTCCAAAAGACCCCCACCCCCCACCCCACCCCCGGGTGTTGCCAGGATGTTGCCTGAATTTATTAGACTTATCCATAAATAACAGAAAACCTCTGCAGACACACCAACTACAATCTTTCAACATAGGTTAATGACAGGATTTTTTATTTATTCAGGTTGTCTAACTGAGACAACCTAAACAATGGCCTCTTTTATTCAAATGCTCTTTGTGCATCTAACATCAGTGTCATTATCTTGGCGCTGATAGTTGTTACTCATTTCATTCTCCTACCTAGCTCAGCACTGTTTCTTAATATCACTTATCATTTCCAACTGTTCAAGCTTCTTAACGATTTAAACTGCTTGCTCCCAGTTATCAGTGCCAGATTATTCTTGAGCCTTTGGTGAGAGAATTAGTCTAGCATACTGGTATTCTGATTACCTTGATTACTTGATCTTGACCTGCTCTGCATTTTGACCTCAGAGCCTGCCTGTTCCTGTTCTGTTTGCCTGACCTGTCATCACATTCTTGCTGAATTCTACTTGTCGACTGTACCTATAATAATAATTGAACTTTATTGATCTTAAATTGGAGAAATTTACCTCTGCATTTATTTGTGGGTCGCCCGGGGAGCAGTGTGGGGTTAAGGGTTTTCCTCAGAGACCCAGGGTGGCAGTCTGTGGGCATGGAGTTCGAACTCAGAACTTCAGAATTCCAAGCTCTATGCCCTAACCACTAGGCCGCTACTCCCCTACCTGGATCTGCTTCCTGACTACGCCTGGCTCTGATCTCCTGTCAGTTCTGTAAACATCTAGGCTTTTACATCTGGAACTCTCTGTGCAGCAACCGCTGCGTCTTATCAGGAGACTGGCTGGTATAAACCTCGTTCTCTTGACACAGACTGTACCCCAAACCAGGTTATTGACTCACGTGTTCCTATAGAATTATCCTTCGTCAGGTTATCATGGTCACCAATCTGTGTTTTCTCTCTCCAGACATTCCTGTCTTAGACGCCCTAGCCGCTGATACTGCAGATCCGCAGACTGTTTATTTTAATAAACGCTTTTTGAGTAATCCTACTGACTGTCTTGCCTGAATACTGGGTCCTCTGTTCTGAGCCATGACATACGG